AGAGTAACATTAAAATCTTCACTCCAAAACTTATCCGCATATTTTGTCCTTTATATTTAGTGTCGAACATTCGACGGTAATGAAAATACCACCGCGTGGCAGGTGCCATCCAGGGCGGACGGCCTTCTCGCCCACCATGCTGCACCTCCGCAAACACAACAACCAAATGTATTCAAAGTGGATAAGTCAACTCAACGGCTACAGAATGCCAAACCCGTTCTTACGCACAATCACACGTTGTGAGTCCAGAAACGACACCATAGCTCAATCAGCGATAGTCGCTCATGCAAACTCAGAGTGCACTGAAAATAGTACTGCTTACAGCAGAGCTACATCATCCGGTTTCCAATGATATACATGACGTTCCTGATGAAAAACGCATGATTGAAAGTGTGACAGTTTACCATGCAAAATTTTAGACCATTGTAATTGAGGACGTAAAGTAACCGCTGGTTTTCCCGCGAACAACACTGGAACTAAGTTTCGGCGGATCACTCGCTTTTTGTAAAATGCTTCAAGTCGAGAGAACCCATGGCTTCCGTATCCGGGCGTATTTTAGATTGTTGAAAATCCGCTGGGTTGAAATGCGGAACAGATAACTGGCAGGCGGCTGGACATTTTACTGCAGCTAAATAATAGGAGAGGGAGGTGGATGGAGATTGCATCTGATTTATATCTCGTGGTTAGCTGCATAGTGTAGTCACAGCCTGTGATGGAGGACGGAGCCTGAGATGTGTGACGAATGACGATAACACGCAGGAAATATGACTGTAACAGATGTCCGACCCTAACAACAACATTTACCTACGTGGAATTGGGATGGAGGGAAATAGCAAATTCCGCTTGCAAATGGCCAATGTCATATGAACGCACAGACTGGTTTGCGTCCTGCGATACCACGCTTCCCTGTGCAGGCGTTACAACCTGACGACTAAATATGATTCGTCAGAAAGTACATTTTAGTTGCCCCTTAAAACCACCATCGCACAGCAGCCCTGTAGTGTGTTCGAATACAGTCCGCAACTGACAAATACCCTCCCGTAAATATTTCCTTAGATAGCGTGATAAACGTTAGTTGCGCTTGTCCTACATGATGTGCGTTTCCGCGTTGCTCATCCTTGCACAATAACAAGCAACGTCCCGCCAGCTGCGTTGGTGTAAGGTGTTAAGCATTCCGACGAACAACCGAAAGCACTACCCAAATCCGTGCAGTCTAAATTAACGTGCCCGTATCAAAGTCGAAATCCACTGGCTCTCCAAACAAAAACAACGGTTGGCGGTAAACTATAATTGCTTGCGTCCCAGTAGTGTTAGAGTAGCAAATATTCCCCAAGGTTACGAATGAATGATATATAATGCTGAAACTAAAACCTGTATGCAACGCGATCACACGAAACTACCTACCGAAAAGCCACGATGTTCCCCATATAAGCGAACTGTCGACTTCTAGCAGAGTATAAATTGCGCTCTGAGCTATCACCATAATAATGTAACAACAATACTCATTCCAAAGGGGCAGTTTACTGCCAGCGGAATGCTTTATAGGTCGGCCAAATTAACAACGCATGCATTATTCTTACTGACGCTCTGAACCATTTGTCCATATTGTTGCCGCGACACCAAAGCCCGTGTTTCAGACATCGCGTGCTCGCGAAAGCAAATCCACCACTCGCTTTTACTCAGAAGGAATTCAGGGTCCCCATCGGAGCGTCCCGGAGTACCATCCTCTTATTGCTTGTTTTATATGAGCTTTTGTATTGCTCCAGATGACCTCGATAGGACTGAATGCGCAGATGTGATTAGATGTCTCAAAGAGCGACACTGTTCCTCCAGGAAAAAACTCATTAAGTGCTTATGGCAGGGCGCGTTGTTAAAAACCAAAGCACATCTTTCCACTAATCCTGCTCATTTGGTATCAAGCACTTGTTGCATCCATTGCGCGCACCACCGCTTGTTGTAACTTCCTCTTAGTACCAAACACGGTAGCAAGCCGTTGTTTGTCATGGCGCCAACAAGATTAACATTCGGTCTCTGGCTGTGCGCCGTTGTACACTGCGCTTGATTAGCACGTCGTGCGCAGTCACGAGTGCGGGTCTCATCAATCTACACCGTTTGGTCTCCTCTCAACTAGTAATCCATGAGCTGCAGAACGAACGATCTGGATTAATTTTTCTACTCTAGCTTGTTAATGGACTCCGGTATGGTGTGCAGTTTCTTCATTGTTATCAGTCTACCCTCCAAGTGGCGTGAGGTTGTGCTCGTATTTACTGCCATTTCCAACAAGGCCTGCAATCGAAATTTAAGGAGTTCATGGGTAACATTAGGCTCCGCAGAAACCCAGTGCTCTGCGATGAACGCCTCCTTGCTTCCCTGCCAGTTCCGTCGATTTATGCGCCCGCATCCAATTGCCACAAGATTTAAGGTTCAACTTCAGTGTGCAAACAATGTGCTACACATCGTCGCCTTCCTTGTACGCTTTCAGTATGATTTGCTTCAAATTCATTGAGCACTGAGCATACAACTCAACCATTGCGCTTAGGTAAACTGCAAGTTCAAAGTCACACGGCGAACTAAGTTGGCTGTGACTCCTTATATCAACATAATTGCCGTTCAAATCTCTACTTTCGTTCTAATTGGTGAGAATCGTTTCCGTGGACAGTGAAACACGGGCCTACATGTGCATCGACCGCCAACACAGTACCAGGTAGGAGATGAACGTCCCACCTGCAAACCTATGGATTAGTGCGTCTGTGGCCCTTTGCAGCTGAAGACGCCGAGCTATTCACCTACACCTACACACATGTGTAAGTGACTACACACTAGGCTCAAAGTAATTAAGTAACGACTCAGATTGTTGGAACTTCAGAGCAACTCCTTTGCCGTTCAAATTTATTCTATTGCTTACTAAGACAACAGGGCCGAGAAATGGTGTAGAGCAACCTGACAACGGACGCACAAGCTTCCTTTCACATGCTCAAGTTCCGATGTAGCAGATCCGTAATATCACGGCAACAGGAATTGTACTCACAGACATCTTGGAGGCTTGATCCCACGGCCGCACTGCACGAGTTATTTTACTAATGAAATAATGCAAGGTTCATCTGGCTACTGTCGCATTCTGGGGAAAACAGACGTCGCAGTAAATAGGTTCAATTCTGAGCCCCAAATGTGATTGAGAGCTTCGTATGCATCTGTGGCTGAAATATATCTCAGTAGGTTTAGGTCATCAAACTGCGGTTGTCCCTTATCCTCGAGCAAGTATCAAGGCAGCATTAACTAGTTCACCTCGCTGATTGGGTACTTTAGGTCAGTAATTCAATCCAAATAGTGTTGGAAGGAAATTTTTCGGCGAAGCTAGGCGTCTGACATACACCTCGTTCCACAGGCAGTCCAAAATGCAGGTGAAGTTGAATGACTCGTGGTGGGACCAGTGACGCTAGACGTTTCACAAGAAGAACAGAGGTAACAGAAGTACATTGTACTAGGCACGTAGCATCTAACGTTGCCCATAGAGAAAAGGCATGCAACTTTGAATTCTGCTAATCTATCAATAAAGGTTGAGCATAGTTCAACAAATCAGGATACGCCCAAGGAAACGAATCACAACATGCACCTGCCGTACAGCTAAGGTTAAAACAACATATGATTACATTACAACGGCATGACTGATGATCCATAGGCTTGCCCGATTATACAAGAAAACTTCTCGGAATTGTAGCTTACACGACTGTAGATTGCACGATGTTGTTCAGCTTGGTATTTGTGACTGATCAGCAACGGTAACAACGGTAAATCCTACAGACGATTTTTCTAATTTAGGCTATGACAGTTGTGGTTTTTTAGGCATTAGCAAGCAAAAGTATCCGATAGCCGCTCAGGCATATCTGTGAACAATTCACGATTAAACAGCTTGTACGTTGTAGGCTGCAGCGAAAACTGCTTTTCTTTGACATGTATTGTTAATAATTGATGTAAGTGATAATGTGACACCCACAATTCCTGTTGGTCTGCGTGAATCTAGATTTCATGTAACGTAGCGATACTACACTAAACATCTCTGACAATCCGTTACATATTTGAGATGTAACTTTCCAGCCGGAGATCGGATATTAGCACCGAGCAACTTGGAATGCACATACTCCGAAGAAACTTCACCGTAGTGGGGTGCTGTAGTTGACTCCGTGTTTTGTGTGAAATTCCTTCGCTTTTAATTGAGAAAAGTTGTGTTGTTACCTGTAGGCTGGACAGAAAAAGTGACCATACCTTAAGCTTTCAATCACGTAAATGTGTTTAAGGAACGAGTGAGGGACCTTTGATATTTCTATTTACAAATGCACTTTGATAGAATGACTTTAATCATGCGTATTAATTTATCCTCCGGGTAGTTGTATTACATGGTCAATATGAATGTCCCGCCAAAGTAGCAAATTCAAAAAACCACGGTTATCCTTTGCACATTAATACAGTCGAATTACTTGAGGCTAATTTTTTACGCTATCCGGAGCTCTCGGATATGAGACACTCTTTTATCCCGTATTCGCTGCGTATTACAGTCGATTTTATTGGGAGGGTGAATAAGACGAAGCAAACAGTGTGCCTAACAGCACAATTTGTAAAAGTAGCCTAGGAAAGCCTGCAAATTTGTTCACTGGAATTATTTGGTATGTCACGTTACAGCAGAACGTTTGCTTTCGTTTTCCTCTGCTGTGTGACATGTAATTCCTAAGTACTCGCTTCGGTCATTCACTGCAGTTGCTTAGTTATTGTTATTTACCAATTACAATTCCTCAATGTTCATAGAGAAGATATTTTTGACGCTTCCCGCTTTTTGTTTAATTTGTCTGGTCGTTTGCTAATCACGTGTGCACAGATGCACATGAAACTTGTCAGAGCACCAATGGCACACAACGAAAACAATGCTCTGAAACCACGAGCACGGACTACATGCGCTTATTCGTTTGAAAGTCAACGAGATCACCACGAACACATGTATAAGGACACAGGTATCAACCTAGTCTATGCGTTGAAAGTTTGTAAATTGCATTGCGCGACCACTAATGACTTCCAACATTATCATTCTGGTACGTCTGTAAAACCGCTTAATTACAGTTGGAATTTTATATTTAGTCTTACTCGCAGTCGACAAAGTTAAAGCTCTTTAGTAGTTTAGTAGTTTCTGGGTAAAAATAAGCCAGTTTCTGATACTGTACATTTGGTTTACTTCGGTACATTTGAATCATTATGATGCGGGTATCGAATCTTCTTGACCCTTGTTAGCAAGCCTCAAAAATGTTAATAATTCACAACGGTAAACGTATGAGGTCGTGTTCAAACGTAATATAAAAATGAAAGGAAATTATGGCAGTGTACTTATCGGGATGGAATGAATATTAACCGATAGGTTCAAGCGACCGATTGCAGGAGCGCCACTAGTACAACGACCGCGTCTTGTCTAACAGGCTCATTAACCACTGGTGTGCAAAATCTCGGGACCCACACTCACAAAGGCAGTAGGAATTAGCCCGATCAAGTATTAAATCAAATTCTTTATGACATCGTGCCACGTCAACGACTGGCCACCTCGGACTTTCTCCCAACGTGTTGCAGCGACAGCGACACTAATGGGGTTCAGATGGAAGACGGAGGACATGGCTTGACCAACTTTAAAGGTTGTGGTTATTCAACACTAAAAGGTTAGTTTGTTTGGAGCCTACTGGTGGACTATAGTATTGCATACCCGGTATTTCCAATAAATCTCAGCAACATTTCGTAAGCAACGGTGATAAGAAACGGCTAATCGATTAAAATATTCAGTATAAACTGTCCACATCTCTGGTCCAAAACGCGTCATGCAGTCATAAAAAACTTAACTTCCATTGACGAGCTGATATTTCAAAGTCATCATAGATGATTCAGCCTACGGAACTGTCTTCGGGGGCTGTTTATGCCGTTTCTTTTAGGTTGGCAAAATGCAAATATAACTGTAATATCAACGAATGTCTTAATCACTGATTCCTAATGCCGGATCAATCCGACAAACAAAAAATGGGCGTTACTTTTTGGGATACGCTTATGAGTTTAGCTTGATTCTGATGAATACAATTAGCGGTCAGCTAAATAGAAAGCGTCACATATCCAAGTATGAATATTTTAATACAAATTTCCAGAAACTGCAATATACGTAAAGCATGGTACAAATATTTGTTTTACTAAGCTATAAATGTAATCTTTCGTTCCACTTACTTTTGCTGAATGTAGATATCTTAATCTATTTTCCTTTGACCAAACTCGTGCATAATAATATCATTAGAAGAACAAGTATATTCCTACACATCCACATGCCTCCCGGTCTTATTCCTTCAAGTTTACATAGGATATGGTTTGTGTGGGTGGAACTGTGGGTGGTGCAGCGCAAACCACTCATGGTCCACTTTGTAGGCGCATGGGTCCTGTGGCTGTCCCCATGGAGGCCACAGTGATAGGCAAATCCGGATACCGAAGCCGCCATACCATATTCGTACAGAAACTCTGGCAGCTCCAAAAAACGATGATAGTGTGGGAAGGTGACGTGTACATTTTTCTTCCATATGTGAAAAATATTATTTACTTCAATCAGAAGAGAAAGAATTCGGGCCAAATCAAAGAGCTCATCCATTAAAACACGTGTGTCACAAAGAAATTAGCGATTGTCAGTTGGCGTTAAATACACTCACCAAACCAAAGTGAACAGTTAGTTGAAGCTATTAACGCTACTTCCAGTATTCTATAATTATAGGTTTATATGTGGAAACTTCAAGTTTTCACATATTTATTGGACAGCCCCATCAATAACAACGTCCAGGAATCTAGCGGGAAAAATCCATAGCATTCAAATCAATGGTTGGACTCAACTTGTCAGGGAACCCACCAGCAGCGCCACAACACTAGATCTGAAATTCACTTTGTCAATTTTTAAATTATAGACAACCCGCTAATGGGCTGCCATGATAATACTTTGCTCTGTAGCATGAATATAAAAATAGCTAGCAAATACAGAGTGTCTGGTAAGACTGATTGTCACATCCAACTTATACGTGGGCTAATTTTCGACCACTTTCTCAGTACGCGGAATTGACAGATGTCTTTCTTAACACATGATTCAACCATAGGTGCAGTTGAATTTATTATAATGTTACTGTTAAATGCCTATCGGAACAAGCATTGTGTATATAAACCAATACCTGTGGTAATCAGTACAAGTCAGGTATCAAAACTACTACTAAGTTGGTGAAACAAAGGTCACAATATCTTAAAAGTAATGATTTTGCCTAGTTAATAAAAATAGACAAGACCCTACTGTAGTTGGAATATTTATCACAGCAAGTAAAAATCGCCGAGGAACACAAAGCTCTAAAATTATTTATATGACACATATATTGGTACAGCTGCTTAAAAAAGGAATCCAAATCACAACCATGCAATTCAAAGCCTAATCCTAGATGATGGTACAACAACGGATAATAAAAACTTATTGTGTGAAGTAGTTAACACTTATTACTAAACGTACTTCAACTATAATATTAACATGTCCATTTTTCTACTGCAATGGAGGACATGCTGTACCCCTTCGAATATCCGCGTAAGGCTGAGGGTGGTAAAGAAGCATACATTTTCTTTAAAACCATTGTTTAAGCCAGGAGTAGATGGCATCCCCAAGCTGCTAACGAATTTGGAGGTGGAAACGTGACTTTATTGAGGGTAAACGTCTTTACACAATCTCTGATTAATGAATGCTTCCCTCCACAATGGAATATGTCAGGCATAGCACCAAAGCACAAGGTGGCCCGTGAAATGCCATGCCAAATTAGCACTTTACTACTCATACTGCGACCGCCTCTAATGCTCTGGATAGAATCGTCAATAATAGCCTAGTTCAATTTCTTAGATGACTAGACGTGATAAGCAGCATACAAGGTGGCTTTCTTACAAAGAGATCCAGCGTGATGAACTAACTACTATTCTTTAACTATATAACATTAGTAATCAACGTTGGCATGGCAGTCATTGTCATCCTACTAGACATGCGAAAGGCCTTTGATCGTGTACCACACAAGCTTTGCTATCCGTCCTGCAATGCTACGGAATCAGCAGCACATTTCTAGGCTGATTGAAATCATCCATAGAAGACAGCAAACATTGTTAAAACTGGCCAACACCAATTCTCTTCAAAAGAAGACAAAAGTAGTTTCGTCCAAGGAAGTGTGCTTAGATCACTTCAATTCTTACCCTATGTAAACATCATATGTGACTCTCCAAAATACGGTCAAGTTTGCATATGAGGTTAAATCATTTACTCATTCCCACCGAGTAATCTCGAACTGGGTCTTATGGATATGCTTGAGGATGCCTCTGCACCGAATTTTTTGGAGTAAGACTTGGTTCACGACATTTTCAGCTAAAAAGTCGCAGGTGCTTATGGATGGATGCAGCGCGCCTGAAGACTCCATCATCCTTGCAGTTAATAAGATTCCATGTTTCTCTTCGTTAAGGAAAAATGGGGTTGCATACTCCACCTCCCTTAACTTTTCCGAGCGTGTCTCCTACCAGCTAGCAAAGGTATGGCGACTAAAACTTATATCACTAAATCCGTTGTCTTTCCCGGAGCACAACTAGAAATGTTTAAGCTCATTGTAAGGCCTATAATAGAGTACTACACTATCATCCACAATCAAATGTGTAGGAAAGATCGCATTGCATTGGAAAATATCAGATTACATTCACGAAAGTACTGCATGGAGAATCCAGTTCTATTAGCTCTGTAGACTGTTGTCACCGCCTTCAATTAGACCCTCTGTGACTACGCCGACTAAGAAACACTATCGTACTTTTTTTACCATACATTGCCGGGTATACAATACCGCATTAACATTAACCTTCCAAAATTCCAAATAAGAATATCAAAAGACGGGGATTGAGGGATGAGATAATCCTTTTGTTCAAACTCGTCAACCCCATATAAGCAACTAATAAGGAATGCAAAACAATGTCAAATGAAATCTATTATTGATCAAATGATTTTCGATGGGTGTTACACGCTACCATGGTAGGCTTAATGGCACTCTCAATTGTTTTTGTACACAGTGGTGAGCGTTGTTGATTGACCGCTATTGCCTCTAATAGAGTAGGTGCCGCTTTTTACTGTGCTCGAGGTTTATGAATGACTCATCCAGGCTTACTTAGTGACCGGTACTCAGTAAATGCCTCGTAATGGTGGTAACAACTGCCTCGCCATTCATTGCGTCCGATCGCCGCATTTTCCATTTGTTTCCGGGGCCGCTTTGCGATATGTTCGTTGATTCTAGCAACCAGTTTTCGTGTAGTGCGCCCAGCATAGTTGTCACCACATCTGTACTTGAATTTTATAAACAGTGGGATGTGCATAGCTTCGACGCAGGCGTCTTCACTGAACGCCTACTTATTGGTATTGCAATCACCCGGAGGCGTTGCTCTACCGCTTTGTGTGCCAATTTCATTGAGGCGCTTAGCAGTAACTTGCATGTGGTGGTCATCCTTGGAAATATATTTCTTTTGAACCGTTATCACACGATCTCGTTTCATAGACTAACTGACTAGCTGTTTATGAATTGCAATGGATAACCATTAGATTGCAACACGTCAGACAGGTGTTTCTCCTCTGCCTCAGTGTGTCTGTGATGCACATCCTATGAGACCGATGGAACAAGGTTCTAACTAAAGCTCACTTGTGGTGGATTAGCAAGAAAATCTTAAAATGTAAGTATTGACCTGTCCATGTCGCCTTCCGGTAGACTGAAGCTTACATGGCGTTATCTGCTCTTGGTGTGAGCAATATGTCTAAGTATGGGAGGCAACTTTCGTGCTTAGTTTCACATGTCACAGTAAGACATTGGCATTAGGCTTACTGTGGTAACGTGCAACGCACAAATCGGAAAAACGTGAAAAATATTTGATTTCATCTGACGTGGCTTTACATTTCTTTTTAATTGCTTGTATGTAGTTGACGAGTTTGCACGAACTGATGATATCATCCTACAATAATCTTCTGATACGCTTATATGGAATAATAAAGCGGTTTATTTTTCAATCTTCCATAATCCCACTAATTATCCCACGGGAAATAGGGATTAAATATTACACACCAAGTACAGGACACTAAAAATCCGTTCTAACGCTTTTATTGCAAGGTATGCTCAGTTATGGAAAAAAGTCCCTTAACACTACGAGCAAGTAAGGAACTAGAGAGATTTAAAGCGAATTTTGAGGCGATTTTCACTACGCCAAATGTATTGAAACAATCGGTTTTCAAGTGCTTACCGATGTACTGATTGCACCTGGTCCAAATAATATTTACCAGATTTCGCAAGTTCATCACATTCCAACACATCTATTGTTCCACTCGAAAATGCCAACCTTAAAGCCCCACCTGCAAGTAAAGAAGATATACGTGTGTAGCACTTACCTCTAATCTACATCCTATATTATTCCTATTACGTTAGCTGTGCAAACGTAACATTCGCATTTTCAAGTTATTTTGTAAGACGAAAACAACCCATTAATAAATTGATACAGGCTGTCCCTTATTGCCGTTCAAGCCTGTCACGCCGACGATATGTTGACATCCTGCACTATTATGGGAGAGGCTATTCGCTCAGTTATTGCCTTGTAATGGTGATCCTTTTGTTTTTACACTATAGTGCTCTTGTTTCCTTTTTTCTGCTTTATTGTTGCTCACGATTAAGCTGGTCTGCTGAGGTGACGGATTGCAGCTTCCATTCAATGTATTTACGCACGAAAAGCAGGCAGCCAAATAGCCTGTCACGTGAACATAAAATGCGGCTGAAAATATACAGTACTGTCTGAACTGTTGAATCCACACCCACTGACGTATACCGCCAAATCTCCTGGAATTGGGTCTTCATGAGCAAAAGTCAATTATTAACAAACGGGATGACAGGTTGATTGGTCTGCTTACGAATAAAAGCTCAAAAGTAGAAAAAGTCGGTGGTGACTACTCTGCTTTTAAGCCACACCGACTCAGAACCAGATGGGCTGTGGATGTGGGGGTAAAACCTCCCGACGGCATTCCTAAATGGAAGCAGGCTCCCAAGAGGTAGTCCCAGGGATGATCATATTACTTCTTTTGATCGTTCTTAGCATTCTTCTCTCTCTGCCTTGTATCTGTTTTGATTTTCTCTTGGTTACTTCAATTATACACTTGTATGTTTACATCGACAACAACCGTTAAATTCCTAATAAGACCACGTTCATTATTTTAATGCAGTGCATTTCCTACCCTTATTAAACCTATCTCAAAAGACGGTTAACTATTTATATGCTTTCTTAAGCACTCTTTTTTCGATATTTTTTACTTAAGTAATTTGCTTGTCATACCTTGATGGGCTTATCTAACATTGCGAAGAAGAAACTTTTCTTCATTTAGCTATCAATGTAACTACTTCTCCCACCTCAACATCAACTCTTCGGTTGCACGGTTGAGCAAGACATAAATCTCCATGTGCAAGTGAGAGCCGAAAGAAAAGCAACTGAGCACACCTAGACTTACAACAACTCCGTAACCCACGTTACATCTTGTTTGATCAGGTCTATTCGGTAAACAGGCCCAACAACGTCCAGGCGCTTCGCAGTGACTTACCTTGCTCCTATGTGCTTGCTACTTTATATTGATCGGCCAACCAAGCTGTAGCACTGAAAATTCCTAAGCAGCAACATGGATACAATATTCTTATATTTCTCTCCTTTTATGCATATGAGCAAATATGCACCAAGTATGATTAGCTTACTTTCTATTACTCTGGAATATTATGTACGACTATGTGCTACCCATCTGATTTTATTTGATGACAACGATTTCTTTAGCCCGTTTTACGTTCTTTCCCTTTTCATGAATCCCTCACCTTCATGGTATCCGCTATCTCCACCGGAAAAATTTGAGGTTGTTCGTGTTCTGATAGGAAACGACAATAAAAACATCAAAAATTCTCCCCAAACGTTACTAATGCATCCGCGGATGACCCACACACATTAACAACCCTGCATGTGTGAGGACGTTGCACATGTTAGTGCGACCCGTTCCATTGTGGCACGGTATCTGTATAAAAAGTGATATAAATATATATATATATATATATGTATGGTTAACGACCACAGAAGCCATTGCCGGCAAACAAAGCAATTTGCTGACTTCATTATGATAGCAGAGCAAAATATCCGGTGACCGACATAGGCAGGTATCTTGTCCACTGTGAATTCGGTAATCTGTTGATCACTTCTTATTTAGTGATAATGAATAATCCACATAAGACAAGACAATTATCCCACGTTTCATCGTTTATTCATGTTTGGTAACTGATAATGTTAATCGTAGTTGCAAACACTAATCAGCATTTTGACTTTTCTCCATCAAGGCAATGTTTATGGTCGCTGTGCAAACAATCCAAGATAATCAACAAGATTTCTCAATTTGTGATAACAAGTGCAAACAGTACGACGACATTTCAGATGCTGCTTGCAAGAATGAGCCAGGTGCACGTTATTGCACTGAATGGCTAAACGTCTTTTATGATTGTTTCCACGGATGTGCAGACGAAGTGTTGGATATGAAAAACGGAGTCATTAGGAAGAAAACCAGGAGAATGGGAGTTAATTCGAAGAAACGTCATTTCGCTTTTTGATAGTCTAATTTTTTTGGAGCATCCTGATGTTAAAAATACATAATTATACACACAAAAACGAAAAATAAATCCTCGTGCAATCCTCTAGTCATACGGATTGAAGAGCTGGTATAGCATCTGTCCTTCTGAATCCGATCACATTTGACTCACAGTTCCACATTTTAACGACTTAAACTAAAACTAGCACGTTAACTAAATAGATGCAATAATTGTAAAACGAAGTGGAGGTGCCTATCGCCAGCTCCATTCCTCCTGGATTGTATCTCAAAAGTAGCCTGTTACTTATTCGCTTAATGTATTTCCGCGCAAACTAAAGCGTCTGCTCAAGTAGGATCCTGCATTAAAGGCATCGCAATTACTCAGCGATATCAAACAGTCGTTTGCGTGATACAGTCTCTGATTGCTTATCTACTTTCTCTGACAGACGAGAGTTTAGTGTAATATTTGCCTCTACGAGGTTCTAGGTTTGGTCATTCTACATTTCGTTAGACCTCTGCCAGATCCGGACACCATGACTCAAGTTAAAACTAGGGACTTTTTCAAGTCAACTTGAACTACACATTAAAATTCACTGTACTTTAATTACTGTGTCCCGTTTGGCGTCAACAGATTCTGCGCAATAATGCGATTTACAAGGAAACTGGCTACCGATGAAAACCTTAGCAACAAATGCTGCCATCTCATTATACCCATTTTTACTGATAATGGAATTCCACCAGTAAAACAGTTCTTAAAGTCAGCATGTCGGATGACGATTCATTGGAACCTGGTTCGAATTAGACGTGGCTTTGAGAAACAAATGTAATGTGTTCTAGCAACCAGTTTACGAAGCAAACAATGCAGTTATATGATGAAAAGTTTCAAAGTGCTTTACAACGCTGTTGTTTCTTTAGTGCCCAAAAGTTGCACAGTTTATAATGTTTTGGACGACATCCGCATACTGTCAGTGTATATCTTTAAATGTTTCTGTGGCTGCTGTATATGGTCTCTCGATACGACCCCTTGCAAGCCCCAACTAAGTATGAATTTACTATTTATGTGTTCGACTCTCATTATTGCACGAGAGTTTACCAGCTATCACGATATTGCACTCATTCCCAGGAGAAGCAAAACTCAATATCCAGAAAAGGCTCCAAATTTATTAAGGCGAAACAAGCGCATTAGGTCGTGAACACAGAGTTTCGTTGTCAAGTAATACTGAGAGAGTCAAATAGCGATTGGAAATGTCGAAAAACAAATAGTCAATCAGACAAACCTTACATACTGCGGGATCTGATCTCCAGCACCAATTGATAAATCATAGTAAAACAAACGACGCCAAGTATAACATTTTTAAAGAAATAAAAGCACATGGGCCCACATGAGGAAACGATAGTTGTGGTTCATCATGATGCAATATCCAGTATAATCATTTCTAAGGTGAACCTACCATTTAGCTGGCACAATTACGCTGGCAGTACGTTAACATCGTGCAAAGAAAACCGAGTTCAATCACAGTCATGTAACAACCAAGACAGCGTTGAAGACATGACAATGCCTTGACACTCAAACAAAGTCTATCATCTCATCAGCACCAAAACAATAACATGAAATTATCTTATACCGTTCAAATGGTGCAAGAAAAAAGCCTAAGTGGAGAGATCTCTCAACTACAAATGATTGCAAGACATCTATTTGGAAGGGGGCATCCAATTGACTCTAACCTGTCGTTTACGGTTATCTGCCGTAGTGAAAATGGCAAAATATTCGAGATCGCGCAGGCTATGGTAATTTATCACAGTCTTTCGGACCTATTTGTGCAATCACAGCCAACTGTCGTCCTCGAGCTTTCTTGGGGATAGTAAAAACTGTCACAAACGTAGTGATTCTGTTCGAGTTCATGCCATTAGTTTTCTTCAATTTCCATTCCGAAGCTATTCAACGTGTCGATTTTGCCGTTTCGTGCTCGTTAGATGTTGTTGGTTTGCATGTAATCAAAAAGCGGCAATGATATCATCGTGTAATCTTGTCTTCTCACTGTGTGATTTAGACTTATGCAGAATAAGCAGAGCTACAAACATAGGTGGATCACATTTTCGTGTTTGGATATTCGATACCGCAAATTCAGCGCTTGCTGCACAAGCCTAATAGCATCAATGTAGTATAACATCTGAATGTAACGGAACCCGCTCCGAACGTAAAGCAAGAATATCACCGCGATGGAAGAGCTGTATTGAAAAAAGGACAAATCTGAGCAAACGGAATACACAGGGAGCATTAGTTCAGTCAGGTAACCTCGTGAAAGGACATTATCACCCACGGTAAATGGTCCAACTACGAACGACTAATTTGCATGGATCTGCCTAGCACGATCACGTGACAGAGCATAGCACTGAAGGTCAACCACCTAATTGTGAACCACTATGGTGCGCCAGTCCGCCTAACGCCACGTCAACTCAAAGGTCACTCATGGATAAGAGACGAATGACTGCCGTATCGTGACACTCATCAGCAGAAGAGATGGTTCACGGCATCCGGTTTCGGATTTGCCTGTCAATGTCGCAAGCCACAGGACGCCTGCGTCTACAAAGGGACCATGGGTGGCTTGCGCTGCACCACCCACGGCCCCAACCACACACCCCATATCCAGTGTATACCCGAAGGAATAAGACCGGGCGGCATGCGGATGGGAGCCACGTTACATCAACGGAGCCGGCCCACACTCCTTCACAGGCAAACACAAGCACGCTGTAGTTGGGGAATCAACCGCACGCAAGGCGGTGGCTGGACCGTAGTCCCCACCACCCTGACTGCATGGAACCACTTTTTGATCCTAACACGGCCACAAAGACCCTGCACCCCGTCCCCTCCAGCAACTACAAACTGTCTCCTGGAGCCAGTATGAACGAAGCAGTGGGTAATAGACAAGTAGACACCTTGTCAACATGCACATCAACTGCAGCCACACCGGGAATATCAAACCACAGCCAATCACTTGAGAGAGAGATACAAAGAAAATAACTCGATTAATGCATAAGGAAACGGTGACACAAACAAGTTAATGAGCGTATGAAATAAGTTGTTTACATACAAATCCTAGATAAGTTCACGAGGTCAGAAAGTATACTTTACGGAAATGCCACGAACACAAAAAGTATTTGAAGGGTGTTTGTGAGGATGGTAAGTATCGTAGAAGGCAGAAGTCACGATTAAACTCCACACGAAAATCTGCCTCGACGGGGAATCGAACCCCGGTCCACGAATTTCCGGTCCGTTGCTCTACCACTGAGCTACCGAGGGCTGACGATTAGGTGCGGAATTTAACACGTGACTTCTGCTTAGTGCGCGACGTATTGCCAATGAGCTCACAGTAACTGTCCTGGTGTTGCAGATCGGCTCACTCACTCGTCAGCCCTCGGTAGCTCAGTGGTAGAGCAACGGACCGGAAATTCGTGGACCGGGGTTCGATTCCCCGTCGAGGCAGATTTTCGTGTGGAGTTTAATCGTGGCTTCTGCTTTCTTAGAACACAAAAATGTTATGGGAATCGAATACAATTGGCTGAAGCGATGTGTGCAAGTTAATGGAATAGAGTACGGATAGACATTTATATGAGAAAGAAAAGCATTAAGGCAAACTTGAAAACCCACTACCTGGAATAAAGAGACTTAACACGCAAGCACGCCGTTAGTAAATGGAATGCAGCGTAGCTACAAACGCTGCACCGGTTCTGCCCACGTTTTCTGCAGGACCCGTCGTCGCTTCTGTAATGGTCCCGAGTGGCCTCGCTCATGGCTAACTGAAATAAAGAAGATATACTGGGCTTGTTAAGCACTCTGTCTAACAGGAACCAACATGGTCTGGTCAATATCTACACTTCACCAGCTTCACACCGAGAGGTCACAAGAGTATACTAATGAGAAAGTTGTTCACTCGACATTATCTGACTGAGAGGATAGATACTAGGCAGAACGCTGATGGAGAACGATTATCGAAAAAGCTTCATCCAGGAGCATGTCCAGGTCAATCCGCCAAAAGAAAGGGCGTTAACGGCAACTAATAAAAATGTATATCAAGCTCACATTTAAGAGTCATGCCACCTCGACGAGGACACACAAGGGATTAATCGCTGCCATTCATTGAACCTACTGCGCTGCAGATGCTGTGGTGAGCAACAGACTCCGGAAACTGTTCCGACTTTTAGTAAACTCAGATAAACCCTTCAGCGCCAAATCCAACTGTATTTATCAATCTGAGTACATTTGCGGCTTCCGTTACATAGACAGGACTGAGTAAGCTTTGTGTTCCAGATTAAATGAACACTTGTCCAGCTGGGTTCAGCATGTGGTCAGCAATCGGTCACCAAATATTCCGCGTGCATGCTAAAGGTCAACATGATCAATAGGCAGACATGTGCAGTTGACCCGTATGATATTGACCCCGGCGCCGAGTTTCGGATACTCTTACGTCACCCCAATGCAAGCTTCCTGCGGTGTGCCATGGCAATTGCGATAAACCAGCTAAGACCTGCTCTGATTATACAAAAACAAGCAGTGGTTGACCACCGGTTGTCTGGAGGCTAGGAACATCGCCGCGCTCACCGCACTGCATCTGATAGGCACGTAACACATTATAAACGGTACAAGATAATTTACTGTTATTGTTTTGGTACCGAGGAGACAGTAGGAAATGCGCACATTTAATCTTGATCATCTAATACGTGTGCAATTTAAACTATTGACAGGATCTGATCGTTTTCTAAAACTGTTACTGCGAAACCCTTGTGAACGAATTAGATGATAAGATGAAACAAATAATATAGAGAAATAAATAGTCTATACCGGAGCCTTGTCTTTTTGAACAAGGTTAGGGTTGAAACAAGGGAAAAGCGAAAGATAAAAACGTTAGACTGGATGGTGCTAGCTCACACACACACACAGATCAATTGGGCATAATACACCAGCCAATTTTCGGTCAATTTGACCCCTGAAGCAGTAGAATAAAGATTCAAGGCAATGCAGTTGCTCTGAGGGGAAATAAGTTGAGCGGTTACTGAAATACTTTGAGAATGTTTATGTAGATTCGTCGCAGTT